CATCGTCAACCAAAGCAACCTCCCGCAAACAAAGCTAAAGAAAAAGGTGTGTAAGCAGTGAGCACGAATTCACCAACTCAAAAGAGTTTCATACCCGTGCATGCGCTTCAGCGATTCGGATGAGGGACTAAATAAGAAAACAATAATCATGTTAAGCACTCATTCCATCACGAAACCCAAGAACTTACCTCCATTGTGGCAAACATTGAATCTGCTCCAGAGGCAACATTGCCGTAAAGCTTTCTCAAACCCGCAAAATAGGATTGCAAAAACTGCGAACATTGATCTGTCATTCTATATGGAGAGGATGTAAGAACAAAAGTGATAATGTAAACGAAGAAAAGTCTCCACATACTTACCGAACTTGAATCTTTGAGACAATGAAAATAAACTGACAAAAATCCTCATCCGAAATCTCAATCGAAAGGTCAACTATGGATCTATCACGCATCGCCTCCTTTAGAATTTGTTCGGACTTCATAGTTTCCAGGTTGGTGTCGTAGGAGGATTGGTGTCGTAGGAGGATTGCAAGTTTATAGCAATGTCAAATTTGCTGTTGGGTTTTAGGTCGTTCCTCTTAGTACTTGGAGATTGTGAAAACATTTGAAACATAAAGCTAACCAACCTCAGCAATGGGTTAACGTGAATTGGACATCCCATCTGAATACGGTTAATTAATTAAATCCTCGCATTAAACTAAAAAATAAACAAAAACAATAACTCACCCTGAACCAAGTAGGCAACTTGCGATCGTGTCGAACTCTACGTTGAGACTGCGTGGACATTGATAACCGTCCCCACAATGCAAAGTTTGCGTTCCAGACAAGATGTTGATCACCATGTCGAACAATCTCCACAGTGTTTTCGTGCATGACTAAACAATGTCAGAACGAATTAAAATCGAGCTCAAAGAGAAACCAACCTTGACATAAATCCTGGACATCCTTCTTACTCAATCTCTCTACATCAACCATAAGTATCCCATCCTTGGCCAAAGTAAGCGCTGAATCTGTAAGTTGCCGCGATGACACAATCATTATACGTATTACACGAAAACTGACCAAGGAAAAAAAAAACGAAAAGTAAGCTTACATCTCATTTCAGACATCGCTCCTTTCTTCTCAACATTCAACGCCGGGCCAGTAGTCCAATACGACCACCTTCTAATCGATGCTGCC